AATGAACATGCTTATGCAGGTATCTTTTTCACAGAGTGATTTGAGTTCCTCGGGGTATATTCCCAGTAGGGAGATTGTGGGGTCATGTGGAAAGTCGATTTTTAGATCTTTTAGAAATCTCCAAACTGTTTTCCACAGAGGTTGTACTAGTTTACACTCCCACCAACAGTGTAGAAGTGTTCCTTTTCCCCGCATCTTCTGCAGCATCTGTTGTTTTTTTAGTTATTGATGATGACCATTCTGACTGGAGTTAGGTGGTATCTCAGGGTGGTTTCAGTTTGCATTTCTTTGATGACTAGTGAGGCTGAGCATTTTTTCATGTATCTCTTGGCTACTCATATGTCTTCTTTTGAGAAGTGTTTATTCATATTTTTGCCCACTTTGTAATGGGGCTATTTGTTTTTTTTCTTTTCAGCTTGCTTGAGTTCCTTGTAGATCCTAGATATTAGACCTTTGTCAGATATACAGTTGGTATATATTTTTCCCAGTCTGGGCTGTCTTCCCAATCTCTTGATGGTTTCTTTGGCTTCACACAAGCTTGTCAGGTTGATGAGGTCTCATTTGTCTATCTTATCTCTTATGGCATGGGCACTTGGGGTTTTTATCAGGAATTGGTTGCCAGTTCCAATTTCTTCCTGCATTTTCTAAGGTTCTTATAGTTTGAAGTTTTACATTTAGGTCTTTGATCCATTTAGAGTTGATTTTTGTGTATGGTGATAGGTAGGGGGTCTTGTTTTAATCTTCTGCATGTGATCAGCTAGTTTTCCCAACACCATTTACTGAATATGTTCTCCTCTCCTCAGTGGTTGATGGTGGAGGCTTTGTTGAAGATGAGTTGGTTGAAAAATTGATATTTTGCTTCTGGAATCTCTATCCTGTTCCATTGGTCTATGTGCCTGTTCTTGTACCAATACCAGGCTGAAGTCTGGGATTGTGATACCTCCAGCTTTTTGTTTTGTTTTTTGTTTGTGCTTGAGTTTTTTTGCTGAGGATTGTTTTGGCTATTCGTGGTCATTTGTGTTTCCATATGAATTCCTATATTGTTGTTTCAAGGTCTGAGAAGAATGCTGCTGATAATTTAATGAATGTTGCGTTAAATCTGTAGATTGCCTTGGGCAGGATGAACATCTTAACAATGTTGATTCTTCCAATCCCTGAGCATGGAATATTTTTCCAATTGTTTGTGTCTTCTTGGATTTCTTTGAGCAGAGTTTTGTAGGTTGTTTTTTTTTTGTAAAGGTCATTCACTTCTCTGGTTAGGAAGTTTCCAAAGTATTTCATTTTTTTGTGTGTGGCTATTGTGAATGGGATTGTGCTTTTTATTTGGGTTTCTGTTCATTTTGTTGTTGATATATAGGAATGAAACTGTCTTTTGCATGTTGATTTTGTACCCTGAGACTTTGCCAATGTCCTTTTCAGTGCAGGGAGGTTTTTGACAGATTCTCTGGGCTTTTGAGGTATAGAATCATGTCATCTGCAAAGAGGGATAGTGTGGAAAGTCCAAGGTCAAGGCACCTACAGATTTGGTGTGTAGTAAGGGCTCCTCATAAATGGTACCTTTTGTGCATCCTCACATGGCAGTAGGGGTAAACAGATTTCCTCAGATTTCCCTTGTGAGAGGCCCCATTCATGAAGGCTCACTCTCATGGCCTAATCACCTCCCAAAGGCCTCCCTCTTAATATCATCACCTTGGGGGTTAGGTTTCAACATATATTTTTTGAAGAAATGTTCATACCACGGCAGAAAGCCCTAAGGTGGGATCTCCCAAACTGCTTCCTAACTTATGAGTCAGAAGAGCATGTTCAAACATCCCCAGCCTTTTGTCTCTCCAGTCCTTTGCCTTCAGCTCCTATTTGTGTCATTCCGTAATATCTGATCTTTGTGTTCACAGTGAAGAAATATTTGGGTTCAAACTAAGAAGGTGAAAAACAACTACACTTTTACTTTGGGTGCTTAGAAAAAAGTTACAAACCCATGAATATCTGCTGTTCTTTTATAGCTATCTTTTGTGAAGTGTATTACAAGATACAGTCCAAATAAAATGACTTTGAGCTTCTCAGTCAAAAAATGTCCCTAGAAGTGTAGATCATGCTGAGATTGAAAATGGCAACTGAAAATAGAAGACAAAAGAAAATCCAGGTGTCATTTGGGTGATGGTAATTCTGCCCTCTGATTACAGGATAGATATTTCCCTTTTGATATGACTGCCTGGGCTGAATCAAAAAATACTGGTTGAGTCTCAGGGTCTAGGTCCACACTTTTCAACTTAAACAGCCATCATTATGTAATATCTGTCAAAGGCATTTTTATAAAATGGACCTCAAAACCACAAAGGTACTTTTTACGCCACGGTTTTCTTCCATAAATTTACTGGTGAAAATGGTGTCTGCTACTTGCGAGCACGAATTGTTTCTACGGATGAAGCTTTCCATCTACCTAATAGCAACTTTACTCTGTAAATAACATAGAAATTGCTGAAAAACTTCCCATTCTATGACTTTGAAAACAGTTGAAAGCTGTTCTGACCAGAGACATACACACAAACACAGTGAGACCAAAAAAAATCACAGCACAAAATGAACACTTTGAATCAAGTTAATCAATGCTTCAAGATGAAAGAGAAGTTGATTTTCAGAGTAGCAAAGAAAACAGTATTCTTTTGTCAATTTAATACTGGCTATTAACAATCTATAGTTGGTGTAAGATGATGAGAAAACAAGCAAAAATTGTGATTTGCAGCCCACGGAGGTCTTATAAGTGAGTGTGCTTTATCCCTCACATAGAAGAAGGTGGTGGCTCCTGGGGAGGCACATTCTATATAGAAGGCAGGCAGCATAGCTAATGTGTGGTGGAATTTTTTTTTTTACCTGAAATTTTGTGACTTAATCTTTTAAATGATCATCTCTTGCAACAAGCAGGACAGAGATAGATTCCAGTTTCCTATCACTATTCATCTGTGTGTCCCCTCATAATATTTCTTGTTTATTTTGTCCTTCACAACAGCTTCACTCTCTTCCTTTTTCCATCCTTCCCTGTCTCCTTACTCAAAAAAAGTAAAATCTATTTGTGTTTCTTATATTTCTACTCTATGACTCTCCTGATTGGCTGTACTATGTCTAGCCACCATCATTTCTTCTCTTACTCTACTTCCTTTCAAGATTAAATATCCTCTCTCCCTACAAAATCTAACACTTTTCTTCACATATTAGACTCCAGGGAGCTCTCCTTCCTACCTGGCTATAGCTACAAAATTCTGCAGTATCCTCCAGTGAAGTGACTGAGAGTGTATCCAGTCTTTTATTCTTCCTGGTAAATTGCAGTTTATCTTCCTTCTTTGAAAGTGAAAGGGCAAAATGAGTCAAAATGTGCCACAAATCGCAAGTTGTAAAGAAGCCCTACCAGCAGTTCTATGGAAGAATAGGTAGAAGGATTTCTGCTGTCACTTTCCAGGATGGAACAGGTAAAGCTGTGTTGTAATAAAAAGTCTTCAATTTGAAGTTAGGAGACCTGGACTCAAGTCTCATTTTGAGCACTTCTTAGGTATATGACCTTAGGTGTAAGAACTTTTTATATATAATATATATTACTTGTAATTAATTGCATATGTTACATGTTTTCTTTCTGTTTTATAAACTGTAGCATGTTAAATGGATCTTAATCGTCATATTAAGCATGACTAATTTCTCGTAAGCAGTAATCCTATATAGGGGTAAGGGGCAATCCCAAAGAAAGACTGATTATATGTTTTTCAACAGTGACAGTTTGTTAAGTTTAGCAATTTGATTTCAACAGTGTCCCAAAATTGATCCATCCAAAGAGACTGACTAACGCCCACCAAACTCATAAGCAACTGAAGTATAAACTAGAATGGCACTCCCTTCCCCAGTTTCTAGTTACATGGTAACCTGAATTGGTAGTAAAAGAGTCACTTAGTAATTATAGAATTAGATTAAGGGAGGTTAGCTAATCTTGAAGGCAATTTAATCTAATTATGATGAGACCAAGATGTGCCTGTCCCACAACAGAAAATATTTCTGTGGTCTGGTGTCTCCTAGATTCAATATTACTCCTCTGTACATTGATGAACTCACACTCTAAATTCTCCTCTGACTTCCCATTTCTCTAAATTTCATGATACCATCCCCTTCTTTGATGATACACTCTCTGGATTTATTAATATCACTAATTAAGCTATAGGTAAATCACTATTCCTTGAGCCTGGGAGACATTATGTCTTCCTTCATTATGTGTTGATTTAATTGCCCCAATGCTTAGAGTTCTAGGGCTGCCCACTGGAGGGTCTGAGGCTGCTATCAGGTAGCCTGGTGTTGGCCAAAAACACCAAGTGATTAGCCTGGATTTCTCATTCTGTTTTAGCTCCATTGGGCATATTATATTACATATATATTATAGTCATTTATTTAAATAAGTAGGGAAAATGGATACGCTAATTTCCCCCAATTACCTTGTATTGGATTATGTTCTACTGGGGTTAAATGAAACAGTTAAATCCTGCAAACTCATTAGATTTTATTTGATTCTGAAAGTAATTTTATGATATTGTTCTCTTGCAGAAGAATAGGGCCTGTGGCCTGAGAAGTACTAGAAGGTAATATTCCTAAGCCAATAAGAAAATTTAACAGAAACAAAAAAATATTGGCTCTGTACCCAGAATAAAGCAACTTTAATAGTTCTCTGAAATACACTTAAAGCAAAAGTATGTATGTGAAATCTAGATATGTTAAAGACAAATTGGAAGTGATTATTCCTTTTCAGGTAGACTTACTATTTTTAATAGTAAATTAATCAAATATTTGAAGCGTTAATTTTACAAAAATTTGATTCATTCAAATGTATCAAGAGCAAAGCTACTTTATTAAACAAAAATCTTCTGGAAAGAAAAGCAAAATAAGTAACACATTTTACATGTTAGAGATATGGAAAGATCCCATGTGATGCTGGTTTTATTATCTTTTCCTGTTTATTTTGTTTGCTCCAGATTTAATCTACAAGATTGAGCTTGCGGGGGGCCTGGGGGCAATCTTCCTCCTCCTTGTACTGCTGGTCATCATCTACAAATGCTACAACATTGAACTGATGCTCTTCTACCGGCAGCGTTTTGGAGGTGATGAAACCACTGATGGTAAGTTGTCTCATGTTGTTAAAATTATATTAGAAGGCATGCATTTGTGATTATATAAGATAATTTCCCTATTCTTAGGAAATACACACTGAATTATTTAGACATAAAGGTCTATGATAAACACAACTTCCCCTCGAATTATTTAGAAAAAAAAAAGCATCAGGAAAAAGAAAAAATGATAATATAGGTAAATCCAGGTAAAGGCTCATACATGCTTTTTGAAAGTTTTATTTTTGTAATATTCCTATACATTTGAAATTATTTCCAAATAAAAAGTTTAACAAGAAGACACTAGTTGGTCAGAAGATGTAACAGTTGCTGTCAAGGCCCTTTCCCTTTGTAGGGAACAAATTAAGAATCAATTTCACTTTTTTTGTCAGAAAATTCAAATTTAGGTGCAGATCATTTTATCCATTACTGCCACCTAGAAAGCAAGTAATTATACAAGAAACTGATTATGTTATGGAGATACTCCTTTTAAAAACTCAAAGAACATGGGCCTACATATGTTTTAAGTTTATAGTACCATTCTCAAAAGTGACCCAGAGGATAAAAAATGAGAATATAGCTTATAATATTCTTATACCCATTTGCTATTTATAACTTTTGGAGATTTTATGAATGACATATCAATAAGGCAGTGTACTGAGTCTTGTTTCTTTGTATATACAAAAACAGTTTAATTTTTTTATGTGTTAAAATTGCCATGTTTTCAATCAATGCCAATAAGAAATCACAATGTTGCTCCTCATACATAAAGTTCTCACCCCTAAACTACTCTAAGCCTTGGAAACATGTTTGTAGAATGCCATAGGTTAGTCAAAAAACAAAAAAAGTTCAGTTGGACATAATTACTATAAATAGGCTGCTATTGTACTGAAATAATAAAGGTCAGAGCTTTTGCTTACTTTTTGTTGTTGACGGATTTACCTAAAAAGAGCAGTTGATGATTTTATTCTTATTTTTATAGTGATAGATGTATGACAAAATTTTTACAGAATCTTTGATTTGGGCCTTATTGTACTATTATGTAAAAAATTATATGAGTGGATTTTAATTAACTTTTATGTTTTCACAGTAAATCAGAGAAATGTTCTTTGCTGAATACATATGTGTGCTCATTTTCAAATCTGCACATTTACACAATAATTATAGCAGCCCATTTAAAAGTACTACAGATTCTTATTCAGACATATCTTCAAAATGAGAAATTAGGGCCTGTTCCGAAAAATATTATATAATATATATGAAAATGTGGTAAATGACACTCAGTTCCTATATACAACAGTTATTATGGAAAATCTGACTTTTTACCTGTACATGGAAAATAACAAAATGGAGTATGTTATTGAGAAAAATGTTACTGGTTCCCAGGAGATTACAAGTAGCTAAAGTATCCAATTGTGAAGGCAAAAGATGCAATATCTATATAAAAGAAAATGAAAGGGAGGCTTCTGTGATTCATTTGTATTGAGTGTTGATTACAAGCAATTTGTTAATCTCTGTAAGAGGTGATATAGTTTATTAGGTTAATATGAAATAATTCATCACTTTTGCCACCCATACTCAATAATCCAAAATAATGAATTAGTTGTAGTACATAGTTGTAAGATTAAGTTCATGCTAATATTAAAGGATTGTTTAGGCGTCAAATATTCCATTTTTGCATCTTTATCTCCAATGTGGCCCATGTGATTAAAGGTGTATAGTAATATAAGGCATTTTGATTACAGAATTGTATGTATTGATTCCAAATTCATTACTTTGGGGGGAAAATACAATATGGGGGGTGGGTACTTCAAAAATTTCCACTAGAAAGGAGATTTAAAATATTTTATATTGCCACATGGAAGGTTGGAAGTTAAGTATACAACTTCTGAACTAATGGAATAGAATACTAAAAGTCATCAGGTATGTGGTGAGAACAAATACATCAATTATAATGTCATTTAAGAAATCTACAAGCCGGGCTTGGTGGCTCAGCCTGTAATCCCGCGCTTTTGGGAGGCTGAGGTGAGTAAATTGCCTGAGCCCGCGGGTTCGAGACCCGCCTGGGCAGCGAGACCTCATCTCTACAATAAATAAAAAAATCAGCCGGGCGTGGTAGTGCATGCCTGTAATTCCGGCTACTCGGAAGGCTGAGGTGGAAGGATCGCCGGAGCCCAGCAGGCCGAGGCTGTGGTGGCTGGGAGCAGCCACTGCACTCCAGTCTGGGTGACAGAGTGAGACTCCAACTCAAAAAAAAAAAAAAGAAAGAAAGAAATATACAGTTACACAATGCTAAATGTCAGCCAGAAAATCTACCAAATTTTTCATTTCTTCACTTATAATATTTTGACCTTTCATAGACACAACTTCATTTTACCTATATGGTAACATTTTCTTCATGTTTTCTCTTTGCTCATATTCATGGTGGCATCTCCTGAAAATTCTTATAAAAATGCTTTATTTTTTATAAAATAAAACCCGTCCAACAAACTTTGACTTCTTAGCCATATTTTATTTTATGCATTTTATTTGAATGCACCAAACAACAATTGCTTCATTCATTCAATCTTACAGTTTTTCAGTAATTAAGTATTTATTAGGTGTTTACTATATGGCAGACACTATGCATGATGCATTTACATTTATTCTTCATCTTGATCAACACTACACACATATACACACACATAGGTACTTCAACAGGTACTAGGTATATAATAAATAACAAGGTCACACAGTCTGTACTTTAGAAGCTAAAGGTTTAGCACTATGTTTGCCATAGCTGCAGAACAACAGGGTTGTAAACAGAATAGCTTCTTGATAGTGAAAAGGATTAAAATTAGATTTAAAAAGAGGGAAGAGCAGATGTGACAACAGGAAAATTTATCCAAAAAAGTTTGACTCCCTTCCTCAAATTTCTCTCTTTATTAGGAACAGTATACCTATGGTGACCACTGTGTCAGCCCTCTTCCTTAAAATGCTCTGACTGCGTTGTGCTCTGTTTCCCGGATCCTCAGATGAACTTAGTCAGCATGATTTTTAGCATAAAGACTCATTAGCCTTGCTTAGAAATCTGGTGTCTGCTGAATTACCTTTTGGTTTTAAAACAAATTTCAGGCCTTGCTGTTAACCTTATTTGCATCATGTTGTGACTTTTGCTCTATCCATCTTGCTCCTCTTTGTAAGCAACAGCTGCAGCTATTCATGAGGTTTTCTTGGCTGCCTATATAAGGCTAAAGTGCATTTTTTTAAACTGTGGCATCTGTGTAACTGCTGGCTCACTAGCTGGTATCCTAGAGATTCTAGGACAGATGACGTGGTGGCTTTGAGAGCTTGCTTCCTGCTCTGGCCAGCCACCATAAGCTCATCACCTTTAGTTCATCTTAAAGTGACATGACTGAAACCAGAAGCAACCATTTTTCCATGAATGAAGTGCTTCTGAACTGCTAAGTAAATTTATAATCCAGACATGTTGGGTGTTAACGCATATCAAAGATATCCACAATTTTTGTCAAAACTTGATTTGGAATATGCAAATATAGAAATACTTTTCTAAGGGAAAGTCTGTATAGTATTAAAGTGTAACATCAGGATGTAGTTAGGACCAGTAAGGATACGGCCAAGAATGTATGAGTTTAGGCATAGTTGGAAGACACATATCCATATTCAGGACAAACACTAGGACAGGAGTCTAGACAGTCTGGTAACATGGGTGAAGGAGTCAGGTAGCCATTGCAGATGGCTAGCTCATAAAGGATGTTCAACAAATCATTATTGAATGAATTAATAGGCAGTTAAATTTATCAAGGTTTGTGAGATGGGAAAGTTATTAAAGTCAGAGTGTCAAGGGTCTAGTCTGACATTACGGAGTTTGAGGCAGCAACATTATCTACCAAGAATAGAAATATATTCTGCTCATAGGAATGGATCTTTGTCCTTTGGCTTATTTTATTCTTCCAGCTGTTTATCATCAGCAGCTCTGAGTCCCAGGTGAATAATTATAGCTGGAGAAAGTCAAGGTCCTGCAGGTGCATCCTGAGCTTGATTGGAACAGGGGCAGAGGTGCTAGGATTACCAGGAGTTTCTTACATTAGCGTTGCTTATGAACATTCTCACTTCCAAGTGGAGTTTTATGCACAACACTGGAATGTGCCCAATTTGTAAGCCAAATGATCTCCTCAACTATCCGGGGCAGTCCTTCATGTGCATCTGCTTCTAGGCAATCAAGTAACCCAACCAAGGTTTATGGATATCTTTTACAGCCAGAGAACATACTAAAGAGCATTAACCCTTCCTCCTGGTTTCAGGCACTACCTTAAGGTAAATAATCAAAGTTCCTTTCATGTGGGGGTAGTGAAGGCTGGAATTATAGCAACATAATCATATGTCAGATATCTCTAGATAGTCAAGAGGTCTCATCTACTCCTAAGAGAGAACATGTATATCTTATTTTGAGTTTATAGTTTATTTCTCCTTCAGCAGGTAGAACCAAATCATGGTGTAGGTAAGTGAGTGACTGCTTCATTATATAAACTACCTTTTGTTCAGGTTTTAGTTACATTTAATTATATATATTTTAATGGAAAATACTGACGTGTTCTAGAAACAAATCCTGAAATGCTTACCAGTCTTTCAAAATTATTATTTGAAAGTAACTGGGTTTACAAATAGTTCCACATGAGTCTCACTACATTCACTTTAAAAAATAGTTTTTCTATAAATATCAGTTTTGAAAATTCCACTATAACTTTTTCTATATGGTTCTTCTAAAATGTTGGGGAACTAACTTTCTGAGTAGCTATGTTCATTAACATTGTGCAGGAAAAAATGTATGCATACATGAACATTTTCTCTTTGGGGAGAATGGCTCAGAGCCAACACAGCAACAGAAGAAAAAAAATACACTCTCAGAGCACAGTTAACTCCCTGACTAACTGTCTGAAGGGAAACCTAATTTGGCAATATTGGAAGGATGTATATTTTGAAACAAAGGCTTCTTTTGGAAACTTGTGTCAAATTAGTTGGCCATGGCCTGAACAAGAATAACAGGCAATGCATTTGTATAAAACCCAGCTGCTATCTCTAATATTTGGTAATGAACTGTTTTTTGTATATGAAGATGATGATACTAACCAGCTGGAAATATGGCATGTGCTTTGAGTGGTGTCTCTAGGACTGAGACTGGATTAATTTAATCTTCCACATTCTAGGTCCCAGCTCCTGTTGGATCTTTTGCACATATTTGTGTAAGCAAGGTATAGTCTGTGACCAAGTAACAGAGCCAAGCCAACTGGCACATAAAGGGTTCAAATCCATGACTTTGGTCTGTTTAGTCCTGCATTCAAACACACTGAGCTAATCATTCACACATCACTGAACAACACAAATGCATATAATTGCTGAAAGTCACAAATAATAACTGCTTTTATTCTGTTCTGACTATAGGTGGGCCGTTGCATAAAGAATTCAGTTCATTTCATATGACTAGGTTATGTTGAAATGGATTAGATTTCCTATAATATGGCATGTGACTTATGTTTTTCCAATCATTAAAGAGAAACACTAATTATTGTTATTCTAGCCTCTTAGAAATTATAGATGTTTAATACTTAAAGAGAATCTGCTCATAGTTACAACTTTTTTGTTGTTCTTTATATTTAAGACAACAAGGAATATGATGCCTATATCTCTTACACAAAAGTGGAGCAAGATACTTTAGACTGTGACAACCCTGAAGAAGAGCAGTTTGCTCTTGAAATACTGCCAGATGTCCTGGAAAAACACTATGGATATAAACTCTTCATCCCAGAAAGGGACCTGATTCCAAGTGGAAGTAAGTACTTTCAAGTTTTATTTTAAAATGTTCTGTTTCTTTTAGAAAATTATATGAAGGCTTCAAATATCAGAGCCAATATTTAGACTGTTGTTTCTCACAGGAGAGTTTATTAAGTTCAAAGTTTCCCTCGATGCCTGTATTTAGACTTTTTAGCATCTGAATTTTTTTAAGGCTTTCTCACTTATATTTTAGATGTGGAGTACCTTAATATTGTACCTTAATATATTTTTAAAAATTATATTGACTTAGTGTTCTGCGAAAATTATGATCTCAAAAAAATCTGTAAAAGTTAGTTAAAGCTTTTTCAATGTTTCAGCTCCAAAGCTCGTCTTCTGTCATTGTGCTACTGATATCTACAATCATTGTCACTAAAAACTTTGAATCTATGCCTTTCAGCCCTGTTACTCATTGTGTTTTGTCACATTCCCAGATTTATGGAAAAATCCACCAGAAAAGGTATACGAGGCCATTGGGTACAGTATTCTCACTGTGTGTTTAAGTTATTTTCAAGAAGTGCTGAACACTGTGGGCTTGAATGGCACTTTTAAGTTATATTACATATTGGAAGATATATTTGAGCTTTCAGAATAAATTCAGTTTTAAGTCACAGTATGTACTTTGCTCCTGTTAAAATTCAGAGTGTGTACACATACACAGTAAAGTGTAAGGAGAATAAAAAGAAATCTAAGATATGGTCCCTGTCCTCAAAGAACTTAAAATGCCATTGAGGCAAAATATAAGTGCTAGAACCCATTTATATGTTTGTCTATGTCCATATCTTTATGAGGGGAGGATTGCACTGGTGACTACAAATCAGAACACGTTAATTTAAACACATGTAATAATAACAAAGTAAAAAGATTATATTTCCGTTACTCGGCAATACATAAAATACTTTCAAATGCATTATTTTATTTCATTTCCACAATAATAATTGGGATAGAGTAGATACTTTTAGCCTCATCTTACAGATAAGGAAACAAAGCGTCAAAGAAGTCCAAGATCGGACTGCTGGCAAACAATAGAGCTGGGAGTGGACCCTGGATCTGTTTGTCTGCTAGAACATGTTGTTCCTTCATAACTACTCATATTACCATAATCATTAAGCTGACAGGAAACAAATGGGAACAACTGAATTTTGGTTGTTCATCTCTTTTCTGAGGGTACATGTATGTCTGTGTTCTCGTATCTTGACACATACACATTGGTATGCAGACTTAAACATGCATAGAGAAGCACAAAGATAATATTTGCTGGTTTGTTACTTTCCTGCTCCACAAATATAAGATTTCCCCCAAGCATATTCCCATGGGTCTCTACACTTCTCTTTCTGTAATTTTCCCCATTTTTATGACTTGAAATACCATTCTTTATTGACTGATTCTCCGAGAAACATCCACATATCTCAGAGTCATTTTTTACTCCTCTATGTCTTTTTTCCAAATTTAGTGTCCCTTGCATCTTTTCCATTCTCACTTCTTCCATTCTAGTATAGGCCCTAATTACCTAACTCTTGGAATGTTGATTATCTCTCTACCTTCTTATCTTTCCTCTCATCCATCTAGCCCCACTAATGTCATACACTATTACTTTGGTCATTTCACTTTTGTGTTCAACAAACTAATTTTCACTATTTATTTCCTACAGGATAAAACCCATAACCCTTAGCTAAATACTTCTGCTGCCATCCCAGATTTGTCTCCCCAAAGTGGCTCTTACCATTTTCTCTATTCATACTCTCCCTTGTAGCCAAACCTTTCATTTGATATACATTGTGCGCCCCTGCATGTTAGTCCTCTATGCCTTGGCAGATCCGATTTATCCTTCTCCATCACTGCCTCTGTGAAAAGTTTATAATAGTCACTCTAGCCCTACCATTCATGGTGTATAATGTTGTGCTTTTAAGATATTTTGTATTTTAAAAAAAAATTTTATGTTACTTTTCATCTATCCATGTCTTGTCTACTTAGCAAGATTATAAGCCCTATGAAGGTAGGGCTTATAATCTCATTTCTCTTCATATCCCTTTTTAACATCTAGCAGAAAACATGAGCTCATTAGGTGCTTCAGAGATGCTTGTTAATTTTGTTTGAACAGTGTTAGTTTAAAGACAAGAAAGAATAATAACAATGAAATAAATAAGTACTTAAATGTTTGCATGACAGTATCTGAAAGACATTTTCCCTTAACAAGGTGAATGTGAAAGCTAAAAGAGAGCTTTCTACTGAAAGAAAATAACAGTGGTTGTTTCATAAAAATAATCTTGGTACTTAGATCAGCTAATAAGTATGTTGCTTTTATTTTTCAGATACTAGAAAAAAATACCTACAAGAGATTGATAAATCATTGTTGCAAAGTTAAAAACAAACACTTCTCTATTGTTTTGGCCTAATTTATATTGTTATGTATTTTTAATGTTTTGGATCTTGTTGAGTTTAGAAATACAATTCTGCAAAAATCCATTTTTAGAGTTATACTATTCTAAATTGTTTTAAGGTAATATCATTACCAAAGGGGAATCTATATTATATGTCAAGTCACCTTCAGTAGGACTGTAATGTCAACTTTTTTGCCTTCTTACAGTACATATTTGGTAGCCCCACAATAGACAGTCTTTATCAACTCCAACAAATGACTTAAAAATGTCAGTCTTGCCGGGCTCGGTGGCTCAGCCTGTAATCCTGCGCCTTTGGGAGGCTGAGGTGAGTGGATTGCCTGAGCCAGCGGGTTCGATACCCGCCTGGGCAGCGAGACCTCATCTCTACAATAAATCAAAAAAATCAGCCAGGCATGGTAGCACATGCCTGTAATTCCTCTGAAGGCTGAGGCGGAAGGATAGCTGGAGCCCAGCAGGCGAGGCTGCGGTGGCCGGGAGCGGCCACTGCACTCCAGTCTGGGCGACCGAGTGAGACTCCAACTCAAAAAAAAAAAAAAAAAAAAAAAAGTGAGTTTTTTTATGTCTGAATATTGCATTATATATTTATTCTGCACTGGAAAACAGTACTTCAGCATTGTGCACCTTAGAAGGGAAATGTGGACGACAAGGAATGCAGTTGATTCACTTTACTTGAGACTCAGTAGATGACACTTGTTAATTGTGTAAGCAAGCAGATACTGTGCATGGATGAGAGTGAGACTCAGAGAGCATGAGGACAAGAAGGATGCATTCCAAAGTTGTGTCCTCTTACAGCTACATTTTGGTGATCTGACGGATCAATCAAATGAAGTCACTGTGTTAATTTAGCTAAACAGGTGGGAAGATATTTTATACCTCATTGAGTCAGCTGGTTGTTTGGCTGAATTGGTTGAAATCAATTAGTTGTGTTGGTGCATCATAAACTGTCTGAATATCTTCCCTAACCATGATGGGCTATGAAGCTTGCACAAGTCATAACATTTTTCAGCTAAAAACTGCAGGATTTTAGTTAGAATCATAACATACTGTATAAGAGATGATAGAAGGTAGTCACCTAGTTTATTTTGGCATTTAAAAGAATTCAACATAAAAACATCCAAAACAATGTTATTGGGATGGGCAGAAGTTTTATAGTCCATAGAAAATGATTTTAATTTTTTCAAGATTTTACAACCACCAGACTGAGCAGGGGCTTGGATCTTGTGTCCTCAGTGATGCACAGGAAGACTTCTTTTACAAGTAAGCCAATTGGGACACCTATGCAGTTTTTAGATGCAACCACTGGAGGGTGTTTGATTTTAATCCTTCCTTCCTGAACGAGAAAATTCATGTACTCTGAATGTCGATTTGCGAGTGTAACCTGCAGAGGCTCTTAAAAAGGCCCTTTGACAATTTTTCTTTTCCATCAACATTTCAGAGTTAGCTGAGCAGTCACCATGTCACGATTAACGAGTTTTTCCTTGGCATTTTTAGCATGCATTCAGGAAGTCGATGAAGTATATGAATAATATACTTGATTTACACATGAATGACAGAGTAGAACATTTTGGACTTGGTGTATGTGTGTTATTAAAGAAGCTTCTGTGGTCTTATTTGCAGTCATTGGTACAGATTTAACAGGTTATACTATATAAATATAGACACATTCCTGCAGGAGAAAAAAAATCTAGTTACAGCGTTATAAGCTGTGTTTGTCCCTCACATCTCACTTAAAACATGTTGACTTAAGACTTCTCCTTCCTTCAAAAACTAGCAATGAGGCCTTTGAGGACTATAAAAGCAGACTTTATACAATCATTCTTGATCTATAACAATTATTTTCTGTGAACCAAATTTCTATGACACAAACTCATTAAATGGGTTAATGCCTTTACTTTTTATGTGTCTTCAGTTTCTTTTGCATCACTCTCATGGTATTGCAACTCAACCTCATCAATACACAAACTTCCTCAATGCACACAGTTTCAAAAGTACATAAAATTCTCTCTCTCTCTCTCTCTCTCTCTCTCTCTCTCTCTCTCTCCTCTTCTATACCAAGAGTTCTCAGAATTCTTGAATACAAAGATGTCACTTTCCAACATGAGCTGGAGGTATCTGTACATTTTTCACATGTCCTACCAGGAATATGTTGTCCTTTGGCCATCATGAACCAGCAGAGATGGGGAGATTTGATGCAAATATTTTTCTACATGTTGAAACAAAGTCTCCTATCTGGACATTATTTTCCTGGCAGTGACTATCTTTCCATTCTTGAGCCTGTGGCCAGGATCTTCCTTATTGTTTTCTCAGGTTGGGTGCCTAAATGTGGCAAGAATTCCTACTTTCCAGTAAAAGTTTGGTCTGTCTCTTTCCAGACTAGAAACATCTGCCCCTGAGAACAGTAAAAGCAACTTTGTTGCCAACAGGCATCTGAATGTCAAAAGTGACAGGCAACCAAAAGAAAGCCAGATAGAAAACACCCTACTCAAAATGCCTAGAGACACAAACTTGAGAAGTAGAGATTTTCTCACCCCTGCAGCTGCTGGGTTTTGTGGTATAAAGTACTCTACACAGAGCACATTGTGTTCATGGGGCCTAGTGG